CGGCCATTTTTAATGGCTGCTGCTATAGAGCTGGTACTCATCTAGCTGTATTGTTTCTATGTTCAGAGGGCATGAGGGCTGAAGGCGGGGATGAAGAAGGGGGGCGCAAAGGAGCAGAGGTCTGGAGGAGGCAGTCCATGCAGGCATCTGGAGGCCAGCCTCAGCACCAGCAGGGGCCCGGGGCCAGACCCAGTGAAGGGAGGTCAACAATGGCGGATGAAGAGATTGGTGAGCTTTCTTCCCATCAGTCCTCCTCCTTCGCTCTACCGTTAACTCTGCTCCTACGGAGGCGCTATGGTCTTAGCTTAGCTTCCACGGGACCAAAGTGTTGCCATTGGTTGACTTTTTATCATAGCTGTTGGTTAATATTTCATCACAATGACCTCCTGGATGGGTCCAGCAAGCCCTCCTGTAGTACTTTTTGTCGACAGTTTGAAACCATCCTTCCGCAGGGTTCCTGCTACTAGCTACGATAAAATTGTACGTTGTTAAAATGCGAAGAAAGGATGACGCTGATATAAAAGAGGAAAAGATCATGTTGGATTCTAATTGATTGTGGTTTGTTTGATACAGGGGCCACGGCTCAGGTGAACAGCCATCCTTCTGTGCGATCGCTGCCCTCCGTCCGCCACGACATCAGCCGCTATCAGAGAGTGGACGAGCCGCTGCCACCTAGTGGGTGTTCGCATGCCCTACAGGGTTATCCCTATCAGACCTTTGCTTTCATAGGGTGTTTATCTTCAGGGTAGTTTGTTACCGTAGAAACTCATGATACCTAGCATGACTCAGATGAGCCCCCTTCTGACAGAGGCTGTGTATTACAGCAGAAATATCTTTACATTTTCTTAAAGTTTTGCGATACGACGTTTCAGTAGAATTGTTTAAGATGTTTGGATCTTGTTACCCATCGGGGGGGTTTATGTTTCTGCCCATCCAGACTGGGAGGCTCGCATCGACAGCCACGGACGCGTCTTTTACGTGGATCACGTCAACAGAACCACGACGTGGCAGCGTCCCACCGCTCCCCCCGCCCCGCAGACCCTGCAGAGGTCCAGCTCCATACAGCAGATGGAGCAGCTGAACCGCAGGTCAGAACCAGGAAGGGACGCTAACGGTGAAAGCTAACCTTTTATACGACGTTAAGCTAACGGTTAGCCTTAACTGCTCCTCTGCAGGTATCAGAGCATCCGGAGGACGATAACCAACGACAGCAGACATGAGGAGCCGCCGGCTGGCGAGCTGATCGGGGATGAGACCGACATGCAGCCGTCTGTTCCAGGTAGTGAAGGAGGAAAAAAAATACAAGAGTGTTTTTATTGAGTCTGCACATATTTAACCAGCAGAAACCCTCCATGTCGTTAGGTATCATTTCAGCTAAATTCCTCTGGCCTTTACTTAGGACTAGAAGCTTTCAGAAGATTCAGAGCTTCTATTAAAGAAGTAAACTTTCACCAATAGGTGGGGCTGCTGAGCAATGTCTGTACACCAAAAAATGATGTGTGGCAAGCCAGGGTTCAAATTCACATCTTTGTAAATGATGAATACCTAAGCCGTCAGAGGAACCTGTTAATGTGTCATCTAAAGCGAAACCATCAGTTCTTCACTACGTTTTTTGCTCTTTCTGTGGAAATGAAAGAATTATGGGTAATTTCTCCTTTTAAAGTCAAAGGGAAGTCATATTTAAAT